CTACCCTGTCTATATCCCCAATCAGATCCCTCCTCAGCCTTGTTTGCTCTCAGGAAAACAAGCTCAGCCTATCCAGCCTCCCTTTAGAGCTTAAACACTCCAGCCCAGGCAACATCCTGGGGAAGCTCTGTGGCACCCTCGCCAGTGCAATCACATCCTTCCTAGAGTGTGGTGGTCAGAACCGCACACAGTACTCCAGCTGGTGCCTAGTTAACATCTTGTACAGTGGTAGTGTCTCTACCTCTAAGTCAGGTGGCCAGGGTTCAAGTCTAACATGCTCCAATAACATCTCAAAACAGGTTGATCAGAAAATATTGACAGCACCATCAACGCCTTGACAAGTAAAGACAAGGATCCCACAGATCTTCTTAACCACCTGATCACCTTGTCGTGCTGTGTTCAATGATCTATGGACATGCACACCAAGGCCCCTTTGATCCCCAGTAATTGCTAGAGTGCAACCATTCAACATGTACTTCCTTTCCTCATCAGTCTTTCCAAAGTGCATCAGCTCACACTTTTCAGGATTAAAATGTCATTTGTCGCTGTTCAGCTCATCTGACCAGCTCACCCATGTTGTCCTGACCTCATTAAAAATAAGGTACTCCTCATGTTCAAAAACGGGAAAAAAAAAAACACTTGTACAATTCTGGTCACCCTTCTGTAGGAAGGATGTGGTTAAACTTGAGGGTGCAGAAAAGATTTACAAGGATGTTGCCGGGACTGGAAGGTTTGAAATATAGGGAGAGGCTGAATAGGCTGGGGCTTCTTTCCCTGGGGCATTAGAGGCTGAAGGGTGACCGTACAGAGGTTTATAAAATTATGAGTGGCATGGATAGGGTAAATGGACAAGGGCTTTTCCCCAGGGTGGGGGAGTCCAAAACTAGAGGCATAGGTTTAAGGCAAGAGGGGAAAGATATAAAAGGGATCTGAGGGGTAACTTTTGCACACAGGGTGGTCCACGTATGGAACAAGCTGTCAGAGGAAGCAGTGGAGGCTGGTACAAATACAAACATTTAAAAGGCATCGGGATGGATACGTGAAAGGAGGGATTTAGATGGTAATGGGTCAAATGCTGGCAAATGGGACTAGATCAGTTTAGGATATCTGGTTGGCATGGATGAGATGGATTGAAGGGTCTGTTTCCGTGCTGTTTAACTCTCTATGACTCTAAATATTCAAACACAAAGCAAAGCCAGTTAGACGTATACAGAAAACAATTTTTCTGAAGAAGGGTCCAGACTCGAAACGTCAGCTTTCCTGCTCCTCTGATGCTACCTGGCCTGCTGTGTTCATTCAGCTCTACACCTTGTTATCTAAGTTAAAATGTATATCTTGGCTGCAGGGTGTGGAGATTGATAGGGTTAATACTACATGCATACATGATGTAGTACTAATGAGGGAAGAGTCATATGAGGAAGAGGAGGTCAGAAGAGAGTAGAAGCTCTAACTTTGAGTTAAGAGATGCTGAAACTGAAGAGTTTGTGTTTACTCTGAGCCTGTGCCTTCGGGTCCTGGGCCCTCCTAGTTTCAACCGGATCCAGGATAAAGTCCTGAGTGGCTTAAGTGAGAAATATCCAAGAGCAGAAAACTGCTGGAAGCTGAGAGAATGGAAAATCTGTATGTTTGCTCTAAAAGTGCCCAAGTCAGTAAGAAGGAAGCTCCATAAACCAATTACAGTCATGCCAACTGAATAGAGAGTTTCAAATGGAGATGAAGTATCCCTTCAGTTTAAGTATTTAAAAAAGGTTGTTTAGAAGGGTAAAAGGTTTGAATATTTATTTAGATATTTGTAATAAAACCATTAGTTAATACAGTGTAAAATAGTTGGTGATTTTTCTATCTTTATGTAATAAATGTAGACGTCATGACTATTTGTCCTTTATTACAAACCAAAAAATGAGAAAAATGAGTTGAAGAATTGACCTTTGAAAAACGGTTGTTTTAAAAAAGAGAACAAAGACGCCTGCTTTCTACTGGGGACTGGACTGGCAACATAAGCAACTTAATTCCTGAGGTGAGGACACTGTAGACAATCGGCACCAAGCTCAGGGTGGCACCTGGTTGGATGTTGAATTGGTCAATCAAGGGAGAACCGGTTCTGACTGGATTTTTGCAGGAGGAAGTGATTTTTGGTAAATTCTAGAGATGCTGCTGTTTTGTTTACTCTCTCTAGTTTCTCTCCAGCTATCAAATTGTTGAATGTTCTGGGAAACGAATCCCAATCAATATGAAATAAGTAAAACTGTTTTAAATAAATCTGCTGAAACTGTTTCTATCAACTGGAGACTTCAGAATTCAGTCAAGATATACATTTCTACTTACTGTGAATAATCCATAGTCTAAGGATTTCATCGAGGACCTAGTATCAATTGTTGGAAACTGTTTACTAAACTGGCAAATTACAATTCTTTTATTTTCTTTTCTAATTTAGCCCTTAACTGTCATCTGTCTGTCTGTGTGAGAGTGGGGGTTATGATCAAAGAAGACTGGGCTTTAGATCATAGGTATTAATTAGATTACCTAGTTGATATGTGTGTTCTGCTAAAGTTACATTATTAATAATAAGTGGTTAATTTATGTTAACTTGTGTCCAAGATCTGTTATTCATGAAGTGTGGTCAGAAACAGTTCAGCAGTTTGGAAGGTCATTGAATGTTTTAATTTCACTGCATTCAAAACCAGCAAGGGTGAAGCTCATTGCGTTTGGATGGCTATCCCTGTGTCCTAACATAATTTTTGATGTGCTTTTGTAAAAGGTACGTTGGCAGCCTCATGTGAATATGTTCATTAAATGACCACCATGGTAAAAAAAATTGCAAATTTAAACCCTTGTTCAGCATTGCATCAGCTAGAACTTAACAATTGTTCTTGCTAATTTTCCAAGTACAGCAAAAAAGGCTTTAGCAGCAGATTGAGGTTCCTGCTGGACTCTGAAGGCAGCATCATTAATGACTGCAAATTGAGTACATTGAGCACTTAAACAGGGACACTGCTGGGAGTTGGGGGTTGGTAGATAGGAGGCCGACGTACATAATGCCACATTCTACACATAAAAGGTACTGTTAAGAAAAGGATTTGATTCTTTCCCTCTTCCTTTGTTATCCATTTATTACCCTCAGCCACAAAACATTTGTGATAACCACCCCCTCTGCTTGCCTTCATTGTTCACACCTTTGAGTATAGGAGTTGGCACATCATGATGAGGTTGTACACGATGTTGGGGAGGCCTCTTCTGGAGTACTGTTATGCAGTTCTGGTCGACTGGTTATAGGAAGGATATTAAGCTGGAGGGGGCTCAGAAAAGATTTACCAGGGTGTTGTCAGAAATGGAGGGTTTGAATTGTAGGGAGAGGATGGATAGGCTGGGACTTTTTTCACTGGAACGTGAGGAGTTATCTTAAAAAGAGGCTTATTACATCATGAAGGGTACAGGAAAGGTGAATGGCAAGTGTCTTTTCCCTTGGTTGAAGGATTTCAAGACTAGAGGGCATATTTTTCAGGTGAGAGGAGAAAGATTTTAAAAAGACATGATGGGCAACTTTTTTCCACACAGGGGTTCGCGTGAGCAATGTACTTCCAGAGTGGATGCAGGTACAGTTACAACATTTAAAAGATATTTGGATAAGTACATGAATAAGAAATGTTTGGAGGGATATGGGGCAAGCATAGGCAGGTGGGACTAGTTTAGTTTGGGATTACGGTTGGCACGGACTAGTTGGATCAAAGAGTCTATTTTCGTGCTGTATGACTTTAACTCTGACCTCACTTCGTTGCTGGCTTGAGTTTTACTCTTTTCTGTGAATAGGCCCTGTCTAAACCTCCCTACCTGCGTATCCATTCATAGCAAGCATGGAAGCTAATGTCAAGCAAGTCTCCAACAAAGATCCCAAGGCCAACTTTTTGTTGACATTGAGAGAAACATTCCTGATCATCTCTTACCATCTACGACATAAACGTGCTTGTTCTCTCCACAAATGCTGACTGATGAGCTGCCAACTGCCACCCTTTTCTGTTCTAACATCCATTCTTGTAAATGAGCAATTAATTTTTCAGGAGACAATGAACTCCCTCACAACTGGAGAGGTCTATTCAGTATGTCATTGAGTCATACAGCATATAAACAGACCCTTTGGTCTAATCAGTCCATGCCAAACATAATTCCAAACTAAACTAGTCCCACCTGCCTGTTCCTGGCCCACATCCCTCCAAACCTTTCCTATTCATGTACTTATTCAACTGTTTCTTTAGATGTTGCAATTGTACCCACATCCACCACTTCCTCAGGAAGTTCATTCCGCACACGAACCACCCTCTGTGTAAAAAATTTGCCTCTCATATCTTTTTTAAAATCTATCTTCTTTCACCTTAAAAATGCGCTGCCTAGTTTTGAAATTCCCCATCCTAGGTGGTGGTGGTGGGGGGGCGGAACAACTACCATTAACCCTATCTTGACCTGTCATTATTTTATTATTTTCTATCAGGTCGCATCTCACTCTCCTATGCTCCAGTGAAAAAAAGTCCCAGCCTTTCTTTATTAACTCAAACCTTCCAGTAAAAAGAGAAAACTGTGAAATAAGACATAGTAACTCTTAAAGATAATATCAGCAGCAAATCATAGAATCATCAGAGAATCTCTACAGTGTGGAAGCAGGCCATTTGACCCATCAAGTCCGCATTGACCCTCCAAAAAGCATCCCACCCAAACCCACCCTATGTCTGCAGCTCTGCATTTCCCACGGCCAAATCCACTTAGCCTGCACACCCCTGGACACTATGGATAAATTAGCATGGCCAATCCACCTAGCCTGCACATCTTTGGACTGTGGGAGGAAACCGGAGCACCCAGAGTAAAGCCACACAGACATGGGCAGAATGTGCAAACTCCACATGGCTAGTTGCTCGAGGGTGGAATCAAACCCAGATCCCTGGAGCTGTGAGGCAGCAGTACTAACCACTGAACTATCATGCCATAAACTACGTCCAACTCTTAACACTTACCTGAGGGTCAGTATTTCCTTTGGTTCTGGATGCCTCAAGGATGCGAACTTTTTCTTCACTCATCCTGTCCGTGTTAGCAATGACATAATGCCTCGGAGCATATGAAGCTGAGAGGCTATCCATCAGCCTGAGAATTTCTGTTGTGTGTCCCCCTGCAAGGGAAGGAATCAAGCATGAAACACACTTCCAAGCCAAATAAATCATAAACAATTCGCTTTGCCACCATACAATCATAAGTCCACAGGAGCAGGACAAGGCCATTCAGCCCATCGAGTCTACTCTGCCATTCAATGAGATCATGGCTGATATGACAATCTTCAACTCCATTTCCCTGCTTTTTCCCTGCTAACCCTTGATTCCCTTTCTGATTCAAAACCTGTCCGCCTCACCTTTGCATTGTCTTTAACAACACAGCTTCAACAGCACTCTGTGGTAAAGAATTCCATAAATTCACAACCCTCAAAAAAAAAAAAAAAGAAAATCCTCATGTCTGCACTAACCCCTTATTCTGAAATTATGCCCCTGGGTTCAATTCCACCCTTGGGCGACTGTCTGTGTGGATTTTGCACATTCTCCCCGTGTCTGCGTGGGTTTCCTCTGGGTGCTCCGGTTTCCTCCCATAGTCCAAAAACGTGCAGGCTAGGTGGATTGGCCATGCTAAATTGCCCATAGTGCCCAGGGATGTTTAGGTTAGGTGGGTTAGACATAGGAAATTAGGGGAATGGGTCTGGGTGGGATGCTGTTCAGAGGGGCAGTGTTGGGCCGAATGGCCTGTTTTCATACCGTAGGGATTTGATGATTCTATGAGTTCTAGACTCTCCCACAAGGAACAACCACCTCTCAGCATAGATTCTTAAGGGGGCTTGTCAAAGTCGATGTTTCAATAAGGTCGCAACAGATTCTTCTAAACGCAATGAGTAGAGGCCCAGACTACTCAATCTCTTCTCGGAGGAAATAGCCCTCACCACCTGGAGTCAGCCCAGTGAGGCCTCTGTGGGCTGCTAACCATGCCAGTATCTCTCTTTAGGTATGGAGACCAAAACTGTTCACAGGAATTCAGCTATGGTGTGACTAGATCCTTGTGAAGTTTAAGCAAGACTATCCTATTTTCAGTAAAGCGAGATACTGCAGATGCTACAATCTGTTGTATGCTTTTTCATTTAATTTGATACTTTCCTTAACTTCCTCGGTTAATCATGGTTGGTTTATTCCCTTCCTTGAATTCTTCTTCTTCAATGGGATATATTTATATTGTGAGTCCTGAACTCTTTTCTTGAAGATCTGTCATTGTTCATCAACCGTCATTTGTGTTAATCTCCTTTTCTAATCCACTCTAAGCAACTCTATCCTTGTAATTACCCGTATGTTTTGCATTATAGTTTCTGACCCATGTTTCTCCCTCTCATGTCACAGGCTTAATTCTACTATGTTAGCGTCATTGTTTCCAAAAGCTTTTTTATTTAAAAGTTCTGAAATCACTTACTAAACTTGACTCATTATACATCATCAGATCCAAACGAGAGTCAGAGTCATACAGAGCGTAAAGAGCCTTTGACTGGAGTGTAGGAGGCTGAGGGGTGACCTTATAGAGGTTTGTGAAATCATTAGGGGCATGGATAAGGTAAGTAGCCAAGATCTTTTTACCACGGTAGGGGAGTCCAAGACTAGAGGGCATAGGTTTAAGGTGAGAGGGGAACAATTTAAAAAGGGACCTAACAGGCAACTTTTTCACCAAAGAGGGTGGTGCATATATGGAATGAAATGTCAAGGGAAGTGGTAGAGGCAGGTACAGTTACAACATTTAAGAGACATTTAGATACGTACATAAATAGGAAGGGTTTAGAGGGTTATGGGCTAAAACCAGGCAAATAGAACTAGATCTGTTTAGGATATCTGATCAACATGGATGGGTTGACCAAATGGTCTGTTTCCGTGTTGTACAACTCTATAACATCCTTCCTATCACAGGGTGACCAGAACTGGACGCAGTATTCTGAAAGTGGCCTTATCAATGTCTTGTATAGCTGCAAGATGATGTCCCAACTCCTGTACTCAATGTTCTGTTCAATGGTTGGATCCACAACATATTGTTCTAGGAAGCTGTCTTTTTCGAATATACTCGATGAATCTTTCTTCATGACTACCCTTGCCAATTTGATTTACCCAATTTACATGAAGATTATAGTCACCCATGATTACTCTATTACCTTTCTTGCATGCCCTCATTATCTCCTGAATTATTCTCTGTCCTACAGCATAACTACTGTTTGGGAGGGGGGGGTAGTGGTGCAAGGTATAGACTACTCCCACCAATGTCTTCTTCCCCTTATTTCTGACCTCCACCCTCAACTTACAAACGTTCCGTTTCATACTATCAAATCTACCTCACCAGCTTTCCTTCCTACCTACCTGTTCTCTTGAAAAGTCACATATGCCTGAATATTTAGTTTCATCTCCTTGTAATTATGTCTCTGTAATAACTACAAGATCAGATCTATTAACCTTCATTTATGGTGTTAATTCAGCCACAACTCTTATCTAGATAGTTTGAAGAATCTTGTATCTGTTGGACAATCCCAGAGGTGGAGGCTCCTCCAACAGCACCCCCTCTGCCCCCATAATTGCCTTGCCTGCAATAACTGCAAGCAATAATTGCCTCCTATCTCTAATCATAGATCAACCCTGAATTGCTTAATCGGAAGGTTGTGACTACCTCCTGGAGCAAAATGTCCAGATAACTTTCCTCCTTCCTGATGTGCCGCAATGTCTGCAGCTCCGACCCTAGCTCCTCAACTCAGGTGCCAAGTTCCTCCAGCTGCAAACTGTTACAGTAGGCATGTTCATCTGGAGCACATTGATGTTCAGCGTCTCCCACACACTGCAGCAGCAACACATCAGCCATCTTGCCATCCCTATCATATTTTGTTTAGTTCATTATTTACTCCACAATCTCTGATCTTTACACTCATCTGTAATTTTTTATAAAACGTGTATCAACCTTATTTGTGCAAACCAAGCTCCTGTACTTTTAATCATAAGATAACCTGTTCTTGTGATCTGGAGATGGAAAGGACGGCAGATGCTGGAAATCAGAGTCAATAAAATGTGGAACTGGAGGAGGCCAGCAGGTTAGATCCAGCAGGTCAGCATCTGAGGAGCAGGAAAGTCCATGTTTGGGGTCTGGATCTTTCATCAGACCATTCACCAGTCCTGATTGAGGGATAAATTTTGGCTAGGATATGGGACAAAACTCCACCCTACTCTTTTGAATTAGTGACGGGGTGTCTTTTGTGTCCACCTGATGGGACAAAATAAGCCACACAATTCCTGAAACATGCATTTATGTAGCACCTCTATAAACTCAAGGCACTTCCCATCAGTACCATCAGACAAAAATTTGACACTAAACCATCAAAGAGTTAGAAAGACAGGTGTTCAAAGAGGGAGATTTCGGCAGCATCTTTAGGAAGGGAGATCATCAGTTGTGCCTCAGTTGGCAGTTCTACTGCTTTTGCATCAGAAGATAATGGGCTCAAGGTCAAATCAAACCTTCAGCAATAAATCTACAACACTTCAGAATTAGATTTTATTGTCAGGTGTACTCAAGCATAGGATTACATGAGTACAGTGAAAAGTGTACAAAGTCACCATTCTCCAATGGAATCTTGGTTACAAAACCAGAATTTAAAAGAACAACAGAAAAAGAAATTTCCTAAAAGAGCCAAAAGGTAAGAAAGTGTCCGGATCTTAAAGTCTTATCTCCATGACGGTGCTTCGAATGGTCAGCCATCAGTGCAAGCACTAGCTTCAGAGCAGTACTAAAGGCGTGTTCCACAACACAAAGGAACAGAATTAGGCCAGACTATCCAGCCTGTTCCACCATTCGATGATGGTTGTTATGTTTCTCAAACCCATTCTCCTGCCTGCTCTCTACTACCAATCAAGACCCTATCTCGGTCTTAAATGCATTCAAAAACTAGGCCTCCACAGCCTTCTGCAACAATCAGTTCCATAGATTAACCATCTCTGGTTGAAGAAATTCCTCCTCATCTCAGTTTGAAAAGGTTGCCCCTTCACTCGAGGCTGTGCCCTCTGGTCCTGGTCTCTCTTACTAGTAGAAACAGCTTCTCAACATCCAGTTTATCCAGGCCTCTCAGTATTCTGTAGGTTTCAGTGACCTCCCCAGCCTTCTGAAGTCCATTACATACAGTCCCAGACTCCTCAACCTCTTGTCATATGACAAACCCTTCATCCCAGGATCATTCTTGTAAACCTCCTCTGAACAACCTTCAACGCCAGCACATCCTTTCTTAGATATGGAGCCCAAAACTACTCTCAATATTCCAAATGCTATCTGACCAAAGCCTTATTTGGCTTCAGCAGTACATCTCTGCTCTTGTATTCTAGCCCTCTTGAATGTGAACATTATACTTGTCTTCCTAACTGCTAACTGAACCTGCAATCTTAACCTCAAGAACATCCTGAACTAGAACTCCCAAGTCCCTTTGTGTTTCAGATTTCTGAAGTATTTTCCCTTTTAGAACATAGTCTTCCTTATTATTCCTATCAAAATGCATAACCACACACTTTCTCACATTGTGCTCTGACTGTCACTTCTATGCCAACTCCTCTAGCTTCTCCAAGCCCCGATGCAGTGTCCCTGCTTCCTCAACACTACCTGTCCCTCTATCACGTCAGCCTTTCTGCTCCTATGATGCTGCTTGGCCTGCTGTGTTCATCCAGCTCTGCACCTTGTTGCCTCGATCTATCTTTGTGTTTTTTGCAAACTTAGCAACAATGCCCTTCACTCCTGCATCCAGGACGTTAATGTTTCACATGGACCGTTATGGTCCCAACACACAACCCTGTGGAACTCCACTAGTCATCCGCTGTCATCCTGAAAAAGACCCCTTTAACCCTACTGTCTGCCTTCTGCTAGTCAGCCAATCCTCTATTCCTGCCAGTACCCTGTCTTTAACACAATGGGTTCTTATTTCATTCAGGAGCCTCCTCTGCAGCATCTTGTCGAAGCCTTCTGGTAATCCAAATAGATCATATCTACTGGCTGTCCTTGGTCTAACTTGCTCATTACCTCCTCAAAAAATTCTAACAGATTTGTCAGGCATGACCTCCCCTCAACAAACCCATGCTGACTCAGCCCTATTTTACCACGCACTTCCAAGTACTCAGTAATCTCATTCTTAAGAATGGAATCTAAAATCTTACTGAGGTCAGACTAACTGGCCTGGCCTGTCTTCTGCCTCTCTCCCTTCTTGAACAGGGGGAATTACATTAGCCATTTTCTGGTCATTGGGGACCCTCCCTGACTGCAACGAGTCCTGAAAGATCACCACGAGTGCCTCTTCAATCTCCTCAGCTGTCTTCCTCAGAACTCTGGGGCATAGTCCATTCAGTCTGGATGATTAATCCACCTTCAAACCTTTCATCTTCTTCAGCATCTTCTGCTTAGTGATGGCCACTGCACTCACCTCTGCTCCCTGACTCTCTTGAAGTTCTGGTACGCTATTGGTGTCTTCCACTGTGGAAACTGATGCAAAGTACCTGTGCAGTTCCTCTGCCATTTCCTCGTTCCCCATTACTACTTCTCCAGCCTCATTTTCCAGTGGTCCAATGACCACTGTTTCCTCTCTCTTATCTTTTCAATTTCTTTTATATTACGAGCTAGCTGACGCTCATATTTCATCTTCTCACCACATTGCTTTTTAGCTGCCCTCTGCTGCTTCTTAAAAGGCTTGCTAATTATCTTCACCACATCATATGCTTTTCCTCTTGCTTTTATGCTGCCCCTGACTCCCCTTGTCAGCGATGGTTGCCTCATCCTCCCCTTAGTATGTTTCTTCTACCTTGGGATGAATTTCTGCTCAATTACCCTCCAGAACTCCTGTCATTACTGTTCCCCCGTCTTCCCTGCTAGGGTCCTCTTTGAAACATTTGTAGCCAGTTCCTCCTTCGTGTCTTTGCAGTTACCTTTACTCAATTATAATACTGTTACCTCTGATTCCAGCTTCTCCTTCTCAAACAGCAGGGTGAATTCTATCAGATTACGGTCACTGCCTCCTAGGAGCTCCTTCACCTTAAGCTCCCTACCAGGTCTGCTTCATTACACATCACCAAATCCAGAACTGCCTCTTCCCCAGTGAAATCTTCCAAAAAAAATCATCACTTGGACATTCCATGAATTCCACTACCAATTTGATTCTCCCAGTCCACCTGCATATCGAAGTCCCCTATGTTTATTGTAGTAGTGCCTTTCTTACACGTATTTTCTATCCTGATTTATTTCTTTCCCCACATTCTGACTACTATTAGGAGACCTTACATAACTCCTATTAGGATTTATTCCCCTTTGAGGTTTCTCAACTCTACCCACAAAGATTCCACACCTTCTGACCCTATAATCGCTTCTTGCCATCAATTTAATTTCATTGCTTACTAACAAAGCAACCCCAACCCCTCTGCCCATCTGCCTGTCCTTTCGATATGATGTGTATCCTTGGATATTTAGTTCTCAGTCCTGATCACCTTGCAGCCATGTCTCTGTGATACCCACAACATGGTAACCACCAATTTCAATCTACGCTACAAACTCATTTATCTTGTTTTGTACGCTGTGTGTTTAAGTACAACACCCTCAGTCCTGCATTGACTGAATTCCTTCTCAAACTTGACCCCTTTATCTGCTGTGCGTGAAATTAGATTCCTGACCCTTTCCATACTCTCTGTGCTATTACTTGTTCTGCAAACTTTCATAACCTCTGCTGAGGCCTTCCGCCCCTTTTCAATTTTGCCATTATTTCCCTTGCAACTGAAACATCTCCCCCACCCCCCGCCTCACCAATCAACAATCATCAGAGGTGCTGTCTCTCAGATAAGATGCCACAAGGATCCCCTGTCACTATTTCAAAATAACAGAGCTGGCAGGAGTCAGACGTGTCCAAAGTTTATCCTCAATCAACATCTCAAGAACAGGTCACCATGTTATTCATATAGCCATCTCATGGGAGCTTGCTTTACACTAATAAGTTGCTGGGATTCTTGCACCAGAACAATGATTGGACTTCATCGGCTACAAAATGATTTGGGTAATTCTGTGGCCAAAATGGCCCTATATAAAATGTGTTTATTACTTTTATTTCAGAAGTAGAAAAAGGCAGAGTGGTTTGTGGAGGAACCACCAAAAATTGAAATTAAAGCATAGTCAATGATGGTAGAGCAATTAGACAATATCCTAGAGCCCAAAATTAGAGGAATACAGAGATCATGGAAGAATGCAGGACTTGTCGAGGTTACCATGATCATTTGGAATTAAGGCATTAAGGAGATGGAGAGGATGCAAGGACAGAAGAATCTGCTTGGGTTCAGGAAGTCAAGGATGCTAACCATTTTGTTCAAGTTCAGACAGATCCCAGGGAAGGGGCTGAAGTTTATAAGCAAAGAAAAGGTGCTTGTGCCAGGGTCTTAAGACAATGGCTTCATTCTTTTCCGTGTGTTTAAGTACAACACCCTCAATCCTGCATTGACTGAATTCCTTCTCAAACTTGACCCCTTTATCTGCTGTGCGTGAAATTAGATTCCTGACCCTTTCCATACTCTGTGCTATTACTTGTTCTGCAAACTTTCATAACATCTGCTGAGGCCTTCCGCCGCTTTTCAATTTTGCCATTACTTCCCTTGCAACTGAAACATCACCCCCAGCCCCCTGCCTCACCAATCAACAATCAGATGTGCTGTCTCTCAGATAAGATGCCACAAGGATCCCCTGTCACTATTTCAAAAAAAAAAGAGCTGGCAGGAGGAAAATCTTTGCTCCACAAGACAAACTGCTGATAGCAGAGAGGTCAAGATGGTGAGGTACAACTGGGTGCTGCCAGGATAAACTTGGGAGTATTGTTTTCAGGAACAGACCCTTGATAAAAAAATGAGACATTAAATCTTAAAACGTTAGAATAGAGTGGATGAGCAACATATTCTGTTTAAATCTGAAGAATTACACACAGTAGAAGATTAGAAGTGCACTACTAGTCGTGACCAGGATAAGGGTTATGGTTTGACAAGTAGAAGTTGTGTTGAAGCTCCAGCATCTTTCATCTGTTTAATCATTCTTTTGTTGTCCAATATATCTACAGAAATAAAAAGCTCATTTGTTCTCATTTAAAATTGAGTGATGGGAGGGGAGGCGGAGAGAAATATGATGCATTCAAGTTAGAGGGCTACAATGCACTGGGTCAGAAACGGGAACATATAATGACATCCATGAGCTGAACTATAAAAATTGATTATTACCCACAAGTAAATTTTGTCAAAGCTTGGGAAACAAGGAGGCAGGATGGGGAAAGGGAGTTATATTAATACCTAGTTATTTATCATCAAATAGCTGTCTATTTAACTGTAATACATTTAGTACTTACTTGCAATTTAACACAACGATAGATATCGAAACCTGTGTTAAAGATAAATTATTAACTACACAGCTAATATTTGTAGATATAGTGACAATATAGTTTGATCATTGTCTGATCGTTAGCTCCCAAGATTTGTCTGCAACGGTGCCATAATCCCTGGTCATCTCCACACGACACCGAAACGCTATTCTGCAATCATTTGAGAAGTTAATTGCAAGTAATAATGACATATTCCAACAATATAAAAGGTTAAATATCTTTTGCCCCATGAAATTGTCACATGAGCCCGTTTCACTGTGTGCAATTGTCTAAGAGAGTTCCCACATTTGATCTCAATGTTTTTATTCTGCAGAAACCTTCCTCACTTCCGGGTTCCTCTTTTCCTTTACAAACATGGAGAGCCACAGCCGCAACTAGTCTTACCCTACCTCCGAAATTAACTCACCGGAACCGAGCACCACCAGCACACTGGCGGGGCCACGCCTGCCCACTTTGGGAACTTCACTTTTCCTGAGTATCAGGAAAATCCTCGCAATGAAAATGCAGCCGAGAGCGAATAGCGCTACACCAACTCCACTGCTCAAAACCATCGAGCCCAGGGCTCGCCGTCAATCAAATGCTGCGCAGCCGCACTCGCTACCTCGATCACGGTCGTCAAGCGAATCTCGCGCAGCCGCACTCAGCAGCACGGCCTCTGCTGTCAATCAAGCCCCGCGCAGCCGCACTCGGCACCTTTTTCAGGATAACAAGGTGGAGAGCTGGATGAACACAGCCGGCCAAACAGCGTCAGAGGAGCAGGGAGGCTGACGTTTCGGGTCTTGACCCTTCTTCAGAAATTTGGGGGTGGGGGGAAGGGGGTTCTGAAATAAATAGGGAGAGAGGGGGAGGCGGATA